TGTGTGTGTGTGTGTGTGTGTGTGTCGGATTTCTTCAAAGGACGCTAAAAGAAGTGAATCACACTCTATTTGATCCGAGATCAATGTAGAGGAATCACAAGATGAAACACATGCCCTCTTCACATCGCACCTCTTCAGTTTACTTCAGAAATAACAAACAAATCATCTCATCATTTAAAAGGATACGGTTTCCTAGCAACCCAACACCCATGACGACCATGCTTGTCAGAAGCAATCAAAAGACGAGCGGCTGTATTCCTCAAAGACTTCCCGACAGCCTCAGAAATGAGGAGGAAACAAGCCAATCAATGATCGGAGCAGAGCGGACACTTAAACACACAGGAACATGAAGTCATCAAAATCACACCAAAACACGCCACCTGTCCACTTTTACAGGCAAGATCATTGAGAAAACATTTCAACTGTTTAATAAAAATTAAAAAAAATAAAATGATGTGTCACTCTTTGAAGAAAAGGTTCCATGGAATCTTAAAGGGTTCCGTCAGGCGCATCATATTTAGAATTTTTGGTCCCACTTTATATTAAGTGGCTTTAACTACTACGTACTTACATTGAAATTTATAATTTGATACAATGGACTTATTGTGTACATACACGTTTTTACATTGTACTTATATTTTAAAAATACCTGCATGTAATTACAGCTGTAATTCATTTATTTGTAATTACACTATTGACCCTTCCCTAACACCTTAACCTACCCATACCACCACACCTGACCCTAACCTTATCCGTATCACACCTCAATAGCAGCAAAAGTGTTTTACAATACAACCTGAACACAATAAGTACATTGTACTTATTTTTAGATGTAAGTGCATAGCACTTAAAGACACTTAATATAAAGTGGGACCAAATTTTCTAGGGGTTCCATCATTTTATAGACTTAGTTTTTAATTTAAATTAAATGTTATAACTCATAAACACTTCATCACGAAAAAAAAATAATAATAAACCATTAAACGTGAAAGTATTATTAAAGTATCAGAACTGCTTTACAGCTGAAATTGCATTTATTCATAATTATAGAACTTTGCAGCATTAATACTATCATTTTATGTTACTGTTAAGTTGAAAACGATCTTAATTGAAAAGGGCTTGTCAGAAGGCAGATGTGCCATGCTGACATTGCCGAAGCAAATGTTAAATATTTCATAATCTGTTCAAAGTTTAATCAAAAGTCAGAGATCTCTTTGGGAACTCAAACAGAAACATCTGAGAAAAAAAGTGATACTTAAATGAATGAGATACTAAGATAGAGACAGATGTTGCTCTAGACCAGCCGTTCTCAAATGCTTTGGACATGGGATCCACATTTTCCCTGCATAGTCATAGTTGAATCAAGCTAATTTATTTCTCAAAAATGGTTGACACACACCCAAGTACCATCTCACTTAACTTAAAGTCCCCTGTAGTCAATAATTGTATCCATTAAAACTCATCTTTGATCACCAAAATGACATTTGTAAACGTTTTTTTGCATGAAAAAAAATCATCATGCCTTAAAATAGCTTGAATGTAACTCGACACCCTTGCCTCATTTAGTATACACGGTTCTATGAATATGCAAATGAGCCCCGCCTTCACTCACTCACTCACTCAGCTCAGAAATCCACTCGTTGGCGATCACACGTTGATCTGATTGGTTACAAGGTAATATACATTAAAGAACATTAGAGAAAGAAAAAATAATGGAATACTGAATAAATTCAAAGTAAAATTAAGTAAATTTAAATGAAGTAAAGGTTTCGAATTCCCTTCATTATGGCATTGGGATAAAATAAAAAGAACTAATATGATAGCTATCTGCAGAAATGGTGAGTTTAATATTTAATGCAATATAGTAAGACACATACTCTAGAAATGGAAACATACTGCATAGTTTAAGTGACCCAGGTGACAGCTATTAATTTCTTCCTCCTATCTCTCTCTCACACACACACACACACACCGACCGTGGAAAAGCTTTCAGCAGAAGCAAGGTCAAAGTCTGTGAGCATTTTAAAAAGAAAAAACTGCAAGTCGTGTGAATCTATTCATATAGAAAATCAGAATCCGTCCAGGAATGTGCCGCTATCGAGTGCTTATAAAGTCTCTTCAAGGAAGAAGAAAAGAGTGTGTTTACTTTGAACACTGAACAAAGCTAATGTGTGCAGATAATATGACATTATCTCCACTCAGGCTTTGATCGTAATGTGCCATTTTTGTTGTGCTACACTAATATGAGTGTTAGAGCATTCTGTTCCCTTTCAACGTATTGTCCTACACACACACACACACACACACACACACACACACACACACACACACACACACACACACACACACACACACACACACACAATGTGTGGTTGCCTGAGAAAGCATTACGTTACTCTGCAATAAATGTCTTAACATGTTCAACTCGTAGCCAAACAAACACGTGTGTGTGTGTGTGTGTGTGTGTGTATGTGTGAAGCTGAAACCTGATAATAAATTCAACTTGTAGCCAAACAAACACGTGTGTGTGTGTGTGTGTGTGTGTGTGTGTGTGTGTGTGTGTGTGTGTGTGTGTGTGTGTGTGTGTGTGTGTGTGTGTGTGTGTGTGTGTGTGTTTGTGTGTGTGTGAAGCTGAAACCTGATAATAAAATCAACTTGTAGCCAAACAAACACGTGTGTGTGTGTGTGTGTGTGTGTGTGTGTGTGTGTGTGTGTGTGTGTGTGTGTGTGTGTGTGTGAAGCTGAAACCTGATAATAAAATCAACTTGTAGCCAAACAAACACGTGTGTGTGTGTGTGTGTGTGTGTGTGTGTGTGTGTGTGTGTGTGTGTGTGTGTGAAGCTGAAACCTGATAATAAAATCAACTTGTAGCCAAACAAACACGTGTGTGTGTGTGTGTGTGTGTGTGTGTGTGTGTGTGTGTGTGTGTGTGTGTGAAGCTGAAACCTGATAATAAAATCAACTTGTAGCCAAACAAACACGTATGTGTGTGTGTGTGTGTGTGTGTGTGTGTGTGTGTGTGTGTGTGTGTGTGTGTGTGTGTGTGTGTGTGTGTCTGTGTGTGTCTGTGTGTGTGTGTGAAGCTGAAACCTGATAATAAAATCAACTTGTAGCCAAACAAACACGTGTGTGTGTGTGTGTGTGTGTGTGTGTGTGTGTGTGTGTGTGTGTGTGTGTGTGAAGCTGAAACCTGATAATAAAATCACCTGCTTTAGTGAGTGCCATAAGAGTATTATATATTTCAAAGTGTTTCCCAAAAGTTCTGCTATAAAGAGCAGGGGTCGGCAACCCCTTAAACATGAAGTAAACCTACTGTATGATGTTCAAGGGTGTGGATGTAGGACTGTTTCCCAGACTGCACTGCTTTATGAATTATTCATGCACAATTCCCAGTTGTTGACGGTTTTTACCGTTTTCTGCATTGTTTACACTGATGTCATGTTTGTTGTTCTCTGAGTTATGTGGAAGAATGTGTATCTTCCCTTAATGATGTCATTTTGAATGTCACACTATTGTGTTGTATGGATGTAAAGAGTCGTACACTATCGGTCAAAAGTTTGGGGTCTGTAAGATTTTTTTTTTATGTTTCTGTCTTCTGCTCACCAAGGCTGCATTTATTTGATCATAAATACTGTAAAATAGTGAAATATTATTACAACTTAAAATAACTGTTTTTTATGTAAATATATAGTAAAGTGTAATTTATTCCTGTGGTCAAAGCTGTATTTTCAGCATCATTACTCCAGTCTTCAGTGTCACATGATCCTTCAGAAATCACTCTAATATGATGATTTGATGCTCAAGAAACATTTATGATTATTATCAATGTTAAAAACGTTGTTGAAAAAAAGTTTACTGCTTAATATATATATATATATATTTTTTTTTTTTTATCAATGTTGCTTATTTTGTGGAAACTGTGCTTAATTTTTTACAGGATTTTTTTATTTATTATATTTAATTAAATGCTTTTACTGTCACTTTTGATCAATTTAATGCATCCTTGTTAAAAAAGTATTTTCTTTCAAAAATAACTTTTAAAAAACCTTACTGACCCTTTTAAACAGTATTAGTGTCTGGAATTGATTCATTATTACTCTTGCAAGATGTCTGAATATACAGAGATACTTGCTTTAAACCATTCCTTGTTTCTCTTCATACATATAAAATATTATTCGAAGAGCAAAACGCAACTAAAAAGGCAGACCAAACTGCATCGCTGGCATGTGCTCGAGTAACAGGTCAGTGTTCATGGGTGACAGTTCACTTGTTGTTTGGTTTTGTGGTTCAGTTGCAGCGTTTGACTTCCCTGACCCCAAATAAATAGCATAAAACATCATGTCACACATTAAAGAGATACGATGAAACCAGTTAATTGCAAAACAGTATTGCAAAAGTCAAGCATAATACAGTGATATCTGTTAATGTTATTAATGGTATATATTATGCAATGTTAAAAGTCTAGCTTTTTATAATTAGGGGACCCTTAGCTTGGGAAAAGTTGACAACCTCTGATCTAAAAAAAAATGCATCTCTGTTCTCTTTTAAACAGGAGAGGAAACATGTAGTAACTCACTATGACCAGCAGAGGCCGACACACTTCAGTCTAACGGAGGTCTGGAACAAGAATATAGATGTACGGAAGGTGGATGGATGAACAGATGGACGAATGGAGGAGGTGGACGTGCCCTGCAGTGTGTGGAAGGAGACCGTTGGGAATATACACTGGAGACCTGTTTAAACATCTTGAAGAATTGCATTTGGCAGATGCTTAAAATAAGAAATAACAGAAAACAAGATAAACACACACAGAAGCACGCCTGCATTCATAGTGTTTCCCTACAAATAACACTGTGAAGGAAATCACGCATTTAGACCTAAAAAATTGCCTTGCATTCTGAACATCTTGACCTAAAAAATTGCATTGCATTTGACAGATGCAAATATGTGCATTCCCTGGAATCGATAAAACAGTGAAGAAAACAACAACTAAACAAAGAATGACATCTCAGATAGCACTAGCCGTAACGCTCTCGCTTCTTATCCTCCTCACTGTCAGCGGGAATATTTTGGTTTGTCTGGCTGTGTACTCTACGAGACGCCTGCGTAACGTCACCAACTGCTTCATCGTCTCGCTAGCGGTTACAGACTTTCTACTGGGCGCCCTCGTGTTGCCATTTTCCACCCTTTACCAAGTTACGGGCGACTGGCCACTAGGGGCGCACTTCTGCAACATCTACATTTCGTTGGACGTCATGCTATGCACTGCCTCCATACTCAATCTCTTCGCTATCAGCTTGGATCGTTACTTTGCGGTCACCGAACCGCTGCGTTACCCAATGCTTTTGCTTCCGTGGCACGTCGGCGCGATTTTAGCGACAATCTGGCTGGTTTCGGTTGCCGTTTCATTCGTCCCCATCCACATGGGCTGGAACACGCGGGACTTGAGCGTGCAAAATATTCGCGAGGGCGACGCTGCGCGAGACTGCCGATTTGAGTTAAATCCAGCGTACGTATTGGTGGACGCCTTCGTGACGTTTTATCTCCCCCTGGTGGCCATGTGCTGGAGCTACCACCGAGTTTTTCGCATTGCAAGGATGCAGGCGAAACGGATAATTTCTATTCGACGGGGTTCGTCGTCGGCTCCAGGCGCGACGATTCTTGCATTGCGCGAACACAAAGCCACAGTGACGCTTGCGGTTGTGCTTGGTGCGTTCGTGGTGTGCTGGTTCCCGTATTTCACGTTTTTCACGATAATGGGGATACGCAACGAAGATAATCCGCCACGGACGGCGCAGTCAGTGGTGCTTTGGCTAGGATACGCAAACTCTGCGCTAAATCCTATCCTTTACGCTACGCTTAACAGAGACTTCAGGTCCGCTTACGCCAAGCTGCTATGTGGAGGACGAGGATGTAAAACACGGAGGGAAATACCGATAACGGCAATGGAGGAGGGGCTAATGATTAGACACGCCCCTCCTGCACAAAGGGCGGAGCTTCGGCCCAGAACTTGTGTGTTGCTGCAAGAGATTGAAAACGGGAAGAGGGTTGATGGCAACACAACGACTGGTGCTACGGTTACCATTGTAGTTAATGGGAATAAAAGGTAGTATGAATATTGTAAAAATAACAGTTTATTTACTTAATCGATAACTTTTTCTACAACCAAAATGCTTTTTTTGACGCCCTCTGGTGGCCTTGAGAGGTAACAAGATAATGTAGAGGCACTAAGAAATCTGTTCAGTTGCTGGGTGAATTTGTCATAAAACTTTGTCTATGTTACATTTCACATACAAACAATCAAATATATAAACTTGTTTATTTAAGAGTGAAATCTGACACATTGGAATATATATATATATTATAATAAATAAACAAACAAACCTCTGGATGCACTAGATTAGAGTCTAGAGATGCATTAGAGTCTAAAGCTTCATTTTTGTTTAGCAAATTAAATTTTTGTTTCTGGTGTAAAATGTAATCTAGACATGTTTTCATGGGATTCATTTTACTGAAGGTTTAAAGGGAGATACATCTAAAGGGCTGGTGAATTAATTTCTTTAAAAAAATGTAATTTTTACTCACCCTCATATGGCAAGCCGTTTTAACTTTTATTCATTTCCAGGATATGAATTGTTGATATCAACAATTACATTTTTGATATCAACAATTACATTTTTTGATATCAACAATTACATTTTTGATATCAACAATTCAATTGTTGATATCAACAATTGAATTCTTGATATCAACAATTCAATTGTTGATATCAACAATTGAATTATTGATATCAAAAATGTAATTCTTGATATCTGTAATTGTATTTTCACTAGTGAAATGTCACCATAGACTGCCATTCAAAATCAATTGTTGATATCAAGAATTGATTTCTTACTAGTAGAAATATAATTTTTGATATCAATAATTACATTGTTACTAGTAAAAATGCGAATTCCTGATATCAATAATTAAATTATCACTAGTCTAAATGTCTATTCTTGATATCAAAAACTGAATTGCTACTAGTAAAATTTTTAATTTTTGATATCTGAAAATGTATTTCTGATATCAATATTATTTCAGATATCTAAAATGGCGTTCTTACTAGTAACAATGTAATTATTGATATCAAAAATTAACATTGTCACTAGTGAAAATTGAATTATTGATATCAAAAATGAACATTGTTACTAGTAGCAATTCAATTGTTGATATCAAGAATAGACATTTCAACTAGTGACAATTTAATTCTTGATATCAAAAATAAAGGTTTTTACTAGTAAGAATTGTATTTCTGATTTGTGAAATTGGAATTTCAACTAGTAAGAAATCAATTCTTGATATCAAGAATTGATTTTGAATGGCAGCCTATGGTGACATTTCACTAGTGAAAATACAATTACAGATATCAAGAATTATAGTTTTTACTAGTTGCAATTCAATTGTTGATATCAAGAATTATCATTTTAACTAGTGAAAATGTAAATGTTGATGTCAAGAATTAGCATTGTTACTAGTGAAAATGTAATTCCTGATATCAAAAATTGCCATTGTTACTAGTAGAAATATTATTCCTGATATCAATAATTATAATTTTAACTAGTGAAAACTGAATTGTTGATATCAAGTATTCATATCCTGGAAATGAATAAAAGTTAAAACGGCTTGCCATACCCTCATGCGTTCCCAAATGGTGTTTTTATTCATGGAGCACAGAGCTCTTTCTGATACAAAACCTTTTAAGCGACATTTGTCTAAAAAAGATACACACACACACACACACACACACACACAAAAAAAAAAAGACTGAAATGTCAGTTGTGATTTGCTAAAAATCTTGCCATAGCTCTAGAAAGCAACTCTCAAACCTTGAGATTTCAGAGTTTCAGTGGATGGGAAAATGATTAACAGTATTTTGGTGTGTTCATGGGGGTCAGTAAATAAATTCCTTTAAAATTGTAAGGAAAGGTCAGTTGTTTTTTAATCTCCTTCTCTTTTGTTCTCCCAGCAGGCCATAACATCTAATCTGCTCTCATAAAAATAAAGTGACCAACCATCCAAAAGTGACTGACAATCAACATACAGGTGACAATCAGAATCTAATGTCATATATTTGAGATCTAAAAACAGTACAGGATAGATAGTCTCTATGGCAGGTCAAGGAAATTCATGCAGCCTTCTTTTATGTCAGGTATTTTTAACATTACACATATTCCCTGCCCTGACGTGTGATGATCTCGATATCGGCCCAGTTTGGATGTAGAGGACGAGCAAACAAAACCTGATGATGTAACCGTGAACAAACCTGAGGAAGCCAGACTGTCATTTTCTTCATATCTGCTCATTTACTGCCCGTCTCTCTGCGACCCACACGGACCTCAAGTATTAAGACTTTGTACCTTCAAAATGCACATAGAAAAGAAAGTGCAAATGCAATTTGTAATTTGCAAACTAACTTTTTCTACAACCAAAATCCTTTTCTTCTGACGCCCTCTAGTGGCCATGAGAGGTAACAAGATAATGCAGAAGCAGAAGCGCTCACAAAACTTGTCTAGGTCACATTTCACTCCAGTATATGAATGAGGGAATGTTAAACTGTTACTACAATGATTAAAGGAACAGTTTGCAGAGATTTTTTACTCCCCTTCTCGCTGTTCAAACACTTTTTTTTATTATTATCATGGAACATAAAGCTCTTTTTGATTCAACAACAAAAAAAAGTCAGAGATGCTTGAAATGCACAGTAAACATCTCTCAAAATGTGTTGAGGTCATACATACACACACACACACACGCATACATGCGGTACACACACATACAGTACACAAACACACACACAAATATGGTACACACACATATACTGTACACACACACACATACACACACACACACACACACTAATACATACACGCGGTACACACACATACATACGGTACACACACACAAATATGGTACACACACATATACACACAAACACACACACTAATACATACACGCATACATGCGGTACACACACATACGGTACACAAACACACACACAAATATGGTACACACACATATACTGTACACACACACGTATACACACACACACTAATACATACACGGATACATGCGGTACACACACATACATACGGTACACACACATACAGTACACAAACACACACACAAATATGGTACACACACATATACTGTACACACACACACACACACACACTAATACATACAATGAATAAAATATAAGCTACTTTTGGACCACGTACTCATACTGTGACAGTAATAAAACAACATCTGCAACATCAAGATGAGAATTAGGGTTAAATGTGCTTAATCGCCATGAAAATAATGTCACAAACTCAAAGCAATGGCAAATACAACACAAACCAAACAATGCATTTTCTTCTTTCTTTTTTTTTCATCCTGGGGAAAATGTTACCTGGACATGTTTTCATGAGACTCTCTGTTCTGGGAGATTCTCCGGACCCAGTGAATTAATTTCTTTGTACTTGTTTTTCTGTGGAAGTTTAAGAATTGTGTCCTGTTTTCTCTCAGAAAAACATTGTTGCATGATCATGTTTAAACAGTCAGATTACAGTATGACTGCAAAGACGATAATCGGAGAGATACGCATGTGCATGAGTCTAAAATCTAGTGTAAAGAACACAGATCGGAAATGAATTCAAAAATACACAATGAAATGAGGGATGAAATGATATGTGCTCTTCGGGATTTTCTTCATGTGGGACTTTTTCAAAAATCTCTTATTTAAATTATATTTCTATGTTGTATTTTCATATTGATCTCTACCTCAACAAAACTCCCCCATTCCTTCATATGTCTTTCTTTTGACTGATTTAGTCTGACCAGCTATTCATCATTGGCCAATTAACACATATCAAACCGTAGAACTTGGGAGTGCAGGTGCACACACACACACACACACACACATGCACGCATGCACACACACACTTTTAGTAGGTTATCCATCATCCTGGTTTGTCATCAAAATATCATCAAATAATAAGGGCAAAAGCACACACAGAGTAATTCAGTAACTCAGATTCCTGACCTCGGGAAGAATGGGAGGAGGATAAGGAGGGGAATCATGGGAAGACATGAAGAGGAAGACACAATGGAGAAATAGAGGTAAAAAAGAAAAGAAAAAAGTTTGTAATGAGAATTTCTGTCCATCCAAGCATAATAAGATTATTTGACTGACTTTAACCATGTAGGAATATATTGTTATGTTTCTTGATACCTAGTTGACAAACAAAAATCTGAATATATTTTAAATTTGATGTCACTAACCTGGCAAACTTTGGCAAATCCCGAGATTAGTTCCTTGTAAACGTGACTGCGATCCTGATCACATAAGTTGCATTCGCAGTAATAAAGTCTCCATACTGAAACTGGAAGATCCTTCACCTTCAAGACAGTGTGACAACAAATATCAATGAAACTATTCAGCAATATATACATATACCCACACATTCACAGTATATATGAGATGATGCTACATATTTAGCCTATGTGTGCACATGAATGTAAAAAAAAAACTAGTATATATATATATACACACACATTATGTATACAGTATATATACACACACACATGTACATATATACACACATAGGCTAAATATATAGCATTATCATGTGCAAGATCCATCTATTCCACTGCCTGAATCTTAATGAATATCAATAATTAAGCAAATTAAACCACAAATAGAATATATAACAAACACAAGGGTGTTATCTGGTGTAAAGCAATTCCCTGGAATATAGCATCACAGTCCTAACAAAAGCAAAATAAAACCCATTCCCTCTCTCTCTCTGGTCCTTTATCCCTGGTTAGTGTGTTGGAATTTAATATGCGACTTTTGTTATTGGGAAAGTGGCACATGTGTCTGTGCGCGCGCTGGTCGCAATATCTCTGTTAGTGTAGATAATGCGATAACGAAGGCAGGGGCTATTCATCACCCTGGCCGATCCCAATACGCTTTATTATTTTAATGCATTTCACAGCGATTAAAAATGATCTATCACCAGACCTGTGTGTGTATGTGTTTGAGCTGAAAGAACTGTGTGTGTGTGTGTGTGTGTGTGTGTGTGTGT